CCAGGGATCAACATACTGGAGCACATCTACAGGGAACCAAAAAGAAAGAACTACTTCAATCCTGCCAAACTGATCATCAACCCCAGGCAGGTGGTGTTGACGTCTGTGCATTACGTGGTAAAAAGCTACAGGAAAACTTTCAGGATCCCCCCAGATGTGTGCAGAATAATACATGTCCGCGTGCCTATGCTGCGTAACCTTACTAAAGAACAGATGTTTGTGGACACCAAGCTGTGGGATTTTCAACAGGAGCTAGTGCCAAAGATTAATAATGTCATACATAAGTCAGGGGTACTGACGTGAAAAAGAGAAGTACTGTATCAACAAGAGCAGTAGTTCTAAATCCTGGTTCTAGGGACCACTGTGCTTTTTTTCAGCACTTAATCCTTGAGCTCAAAACTACCCAAATTAATATGCATTATTTCCAAGACCTTCCTGTTGTATATCCTCAACTTGCTAATTAAGAATTTGTTCCCTTGCTGACTAAACAGCTCTTAATAGATGATTCATTGATAACAAAGGGACACTGGTGGAAATGACACTATATGAGACAGCCCCCACAGTAAGTCAGTGTTTTTAATTTTGTTCAAGACCGGTTCGTTATATTTCAGCTCATACATCTGAGTGGGCGCAGTCCTGAGACTCATTAATTGGCACAAGTTTAATACCGGTTATAAATACCATTCATTTTTTTATGATGAATCAGATAGAAAGCTCTCACATGGGCAAAGACCACTGGGCAAAGACCAGTGGATACCCTGGAACAGGATAAGGAACTACTATACGAGTTTTGTTTTTAACCAAGGTTTTGAGAATGTATTTTTTGTCCTTTGTGTTGTTCTACAGTAGTGATACAGTAATGTGAATTATGCAATTTTGAAATTCAGTTTGCACACGTTTACAGCTTGATGAAAACTTTCATAAACAACTGACAAAAACAACAAATGTTGAAACTCCTACCATGTTTTATTGTTTAGAATTGTTCTTTTTTTAGATTACTTGAACTGAGCAGTTTTATTCTAGGATTATTTAGAAAACAGTTGGGGTGTTTTAGCACATGCAAAACACACTACTTCAGCTTGGTTAATAATATCTGTCAGTGTTTATTATACTGTGGTGGAAGAGAAGACTCTCTCACTGCCCTTGGATCCTGGGACCAATTTCAGAATGGAGCTTTTTCTGTGAGAAGTCTGCATGATATTCATCTGTGTGTTCAGGTTGGTTTTCTCAAGGAATTCAGGTTATCACCCACCACACAAATGTATGCTGATTAACTGGTGACTAGCAGTCCCTCCAGACTGTTGTCCAGCTGTGCACCCTGTGCTTCCAGGATAGGATTCAGTTTTCTCTGACTCTTAATCAGGAATAACTGACCTGCCAATGCAGGGGTGATTGGAAACATGGGATTTCTTTAACACGCCACAGGCAGCACCGACCCGGGAGCAGGGCCATATTACCCCCATGGGCACAGCAAGGATTGTGCCTAGGGCCCACTACACAATTATGACCATGTTTTTTTATTTGTATGATAGAACCTGTAACAAAGATGTCTTGTTGAATAAATATACATAGCAAGAATAGGCTATCTGAAGAATCTGAAAAATTATTCAAATATAATTCTGAATACCTACATCTACCCACAGAAATCGATATACCCATTAAAATGACTCCACCACAGTGCACGTGAGACAGAAGTAGGGACTACAAAGACCTTAATCAGGCCCAGGCTGGGAGGCCAGAGGGCTAAATAAATATATTTATGTGTCACTGAAACCCAGGAGGGTCCTGTAGACTAATACCACTCTACCTTGACATGACAGATCAGCAGTGTATTTACCTGTATCGTGTCTATTCAAGACTGGTGTCCCGTCCAGAGTGTCCCCTGCCTGCTCCGTTTGCTTGCTGGGATAGGCTCCAGCTCCCCCATGACCTTGAATCGGAGAAAGCCATTAGAAAGTGGACGGACGTCTGCTCAACAAAACTAATTTTCCTGATAGAGATATATATGCGTGGGTATTGGAATTCGTATTAGTGCCGCACACCGAACAGCAGACGACACAGTATGACAGATGGCAAAAGGACAGGCAAGCAAAGGAATCAACCTGTACTTGTTCCTCGGCGACGCCACACAACGTGGACAGTACAGTGCAAACACAATGGATAATAACAACCAGGACAATAAACAGGTTGTGGGGAACACTACAAATGGAGCAGTGAAAATAAATAAAGGGAAACAATAAGGTCGATGGACTGGAATCAGGAGTGAAGTGATACAGTATGTGTCTTCCCATTCTCAGGAGTAAATAAACGCGTCCAGCTACGACTTCCACGAACCCTGTTGGGGTCCGGCTGTGGCGGTGGCGCCCCCTGGCGGCGGAAGTCTTCACTCTCCTCCCCAGTACGAGCAGATCGACGGCGAGCAGTAACAGGGAGGGTCTCATCGTGGGACAGCCGATCAAAGCTGGCGGCAGTTTGCGTTTCCCATACGAATCCCTCCCTTTCGTCGCCTCGGGGGGCCAAATGCGTGTTGGACTCGGCGTGAAATATTCATGGGAACAAGCAATAGGTTTATTCCATGCTGAAATGAAAACTTCGGCGGGTGGAGCCTTCGTTGTTTTCTTCTCTGTTCAGCGCAGAATTAAGTCTATTACTTCTCCCTTTGCAGCCTGGTGCCGACGCCGCTCCCCCACCTGAATCCGATATTTATATGATTTAAGCGGTCTGTGTGTTTGCGTCTTCTTAACTCGTTGTGTGCACACGTTATTGCCTTTTAAACATAAACCTCATCCAAGAGGATTGCTCAGCCTAGATCACATTAAAATGTTTTAAGAATTATAATCCTTGGCTTTAGCAAAGTGTATTGTTTTTTTTTTTTTTAAAAAAAGGATTTTCTTAACAGATGGCACTTCTTCCTCTTGTTGTTGTTCGGAGAGAGTTTTGAAATAAAATTGTTTCTTACCTCGGTACGCGACTCTCCGGTGTTTCAGTCTGAGGGAGACGTTCTGTAACATGTGCCGACACGTGTTTAATTACATTTAAACACACAGCCCTCTGTAGCGGTACAGTCGATACACTTTTTTTGTTTGTTTGGGGTTTTTTTTTTACTTTTAAAAAAAAAGTTAATAACCGCGGCGACTCGGGGCTCTACGGGCGGTGGGCGAGCGGAGCCGCGTCAGGGCGGGAAAACGGCCGCCGCTCGAGCCGCCTCGGCTCGCGACAAAGCCGTTACAAGACCCTGGAGGGGCGCGCGCGCGCGCTACCGAGGGGTAAGTTTAAACCTGTTTGAACACTTAAAACTTTGTTTATAAATATATATATACACACACAACAATACACCATATACAACACCAGAGGATGAAATTAAGCCTGTTACTGCGCTGTGATAATAGTTAGCGTATTAAATGTTCCTGTACTATCTACGAAGTTTGATGCCTTCCAATGTCGTCGTCAAAAATCGTACAGTCCTTTTAAAACCGTTACGGTTGTCACCAACCGTTATTCTCTGCAAAGTCTCTGCGCAGACAGCGGGTCCGGTACTGGGAACGTACAGTTTTTCCCGTCCTGTGCGATGTTCGGTATTAGTAGTACAGTATTGTGAGGGTGTCGTTTTGGGAAAGGCGGGAGACACTTACACTTACACCGTTTTGAAATGTAATTGCATGCCGCAAGGCATACGGCCGACAGTAGAGGTGGTGCTGGCGTTACAATGCGTTTACAGCAACGATAAAAGGGTTTACAGGGAACTACCAAATATCATCTGATTCAGGACTAAAATGACCGGTGATGACTCTGCATGCAGATGGCGTTGAGTCGTATGTTATTGTTAGTGTCCCTGCAGCTGCTTCTTTCTGCGGAGCCGGGAGAGCCGAGCCATCAGTAGGGAGGAAAAAAAAAAGTTATATCGAGGGAACGATTTACAGTTCGTGCGCACGAAATAACTAAATCGCTCCCTCGTTTTCTTTTAATTCCTTCGCAATTGGTCAACCATGAAGCCAATCAGTTCTCCTGTCTGCATATCGCCGTCAGCAGAGCCCATTAAACCGGAGAATCCTCTCCAGTTCCCGCTTGTCGACAGTGATGCCCCTCATAACTCACCCCCAAAGCAAAATAAGAGGAAATCACTTCACCTCTATCCATTACCCCAATCTGCAGCAGTGTCAGACAGTCAGGCTCTATTGTGCTGATGTGAAGACGCGGTCACGTGTCCGCCAGTGCTTGATACAGCGCTGTCAGGAGCCTGGGATAATACTGGCGTTTTAGATGCTTTCTGCTGCCTGTGCGACTACCGTGACCCAAAGGACACGAAGGACAAGTAAGAAAACGTTATTTCGGGCGCACGAATGAAGGAAAACGAGGGAACGATTTAATTATTTCGTGCGCACGGGTTGTAAATCGTTCCCTCGAACTCACTTTGTTTTCGTACTGATGGCCCCTCCCGGGCTCCGTGTCTTTCTGTACTCTGCTGATATACACCGAACTTACATTAGCACGAGTTAATTACCATTAATCTTGTTGCTATCAATTACCACTCTTACCATTTTCACTCACACCTGTGCCTGACAAGTTCACGTCTCTGGGTATTATTTGAATTTAATTTTACGCTATTATTCAAATATGTCAAACACGATTTTGCTCGTTTGTCCTCTCTGACTTTATCATTAGATGGCCGTATTAACATTAAGATGACCACAGTTCACAAAATGTTGTATAAAACACTATACAGCTATTTCCACTTACTTGTTCAAAGAGCGCTTCCTAAATTCAGAGATGGATTTGTTTTCCCCAGAGACCTACACATTCAGGGTATTTGGAGCTGCTAAACGTCCTGTTTTGCCATCAGGAAGCCAGTTTTTGCAGTATTACTGTTATGTATTTGTATTGACCTCCCAATTGTCTTGACATGCGATAGGTTAAGTGAGACAAAGGTGCTGTAAGAAAGTCAGATCTGATGATCTGTGTTCTGATTTGTCCGTTTCGTTAGGCAGGACCCTCCCCCCTGTTGTGAAAAGTAGCGTAAGTTCCTAGGGCAAGCGTTCTCAAATCTGACATTGAGAGTGCAGACAGAGTGAGAGGAGTGACAGAGAGATCTCCCCGCGGTGTGAAATAGAGAGAGTGAAACAATCCATATGTGCACATACACCGCCTTCAGAAAAGGCCCAGTTGTCCAGAGTCTGGTGCCAAGCAGTCACACAGTACTTACCCATCGTGATATGACATGGCCAGGATCCAAGGCAGGAGAGCCCAGGATGGTCCGGCATAATAACTCTAATATTAAATGCTTAATTGTCAAGAGTTCCAAATGATTTTGTTTGATTTGATCTCATTCCAAGCAGGGCATTTTGGAGGACAATTTATAACTATGTAAAAATGCAGACCAAGGACACTGGCCTCATTCTTTTGTATTCAGTGGAATAAATCAATACTGCAAGTGAAAGGAACTAGATTAATCAATTTATTGCCATTTCTTGATAAGAGACAAATAATTACAGAGAGATTAACCAAGAGATCTGAGCACCAAATAAACCTTTACCTTTCTTTTTTAAGCCCTTGTGTACCCTCTTTGTGCCTCTGTCCACCTGCTTCTCTTGGCAACAAGCTTGTCTCCCTTGAATCCTTCCGGACTTCTCCCACACTTCCAAACCCCGACAGAGAACATTAATAAACTCTGTTGTGTGATCATCAGAAACACCACTTCAGCAGTGAGAGTACACTCAATTCACGTGAAGGAGTGGCACGTTATAACTTCTACTCTGTGCAGCGAAAAAAGCATGCTGTTTGGGTACGTACTCGCCTAGAGTGAGTAAGTCGATGGCCGACATACTGTCCAGGTGTTAGAGGATTGTGCTTACACCCGTCCGTAGTCCAGCAGAATTTAAGGCACTTTGGAAGATTGGAGATGGAATTGGCCCACTGCTCCTTGTGGTTCTTCATCAGGAGACTGGGATACCCCAGCACACACCAGGTCATCGGACGCTACATAGCAAGCCTCCTGCTGTGCCTCATGAGAATTGAAGATAACAATGATAACTGTTGCCCTCACCGCTGAGGATAATGCGATTTGGTCTCCACTGGCATTAAGTGATAGGTGCCTGTAAGTCATCAGTGATGCCTGCTTTCCTTTTCAGAGAACCAAGGATTGATTACGACTGAATTTAACAGATTTAACATTTTTCAGCCCTTTGTGTCAATTACAAAGGCGTCTAACAGTTTCATTCAACATTTGTTTCAGTTATGGTTTTGATATTCAATGTTGTTTTTAAGTGGGCGAATGAGATTGACGGTGAATCGTTGTGTGGGTTTAAAACTTTGAATCAGAGAAGAGCTACAGTAGGTTGTGCAGCCATTAAATAGCACATTGTAGGCAGAAGACCAGAAATGAAACAGGAAAAAAATCTTCTCTCACAATTGGCTTGTTATTAATGTTTTAAGTATTGATTACTATCAAATCTAAAACTATCAACTGGGCATGATGGTCAACAAAAATCTACAGCTCTCAAGGACAAAACTTATTGTACAAATTTCTTACTCAATTACATGTGTTCCCTATTTTGCAAAAACAGTTATTTGGAGAGACCTATAAAGCATACTGGACTGGCAATGTGCTGGACCAGTAGTGAAGATCCCTGCTCTTGTTGTGTTGAGCATTTTCACGTCAGCACCCCTGACTTGTGTATGACATTATTAATCTTTGGCACTAGCTCCTGTTGAAAATCCCACAGCGTGGTGTCCACAAGCAGCTGTTCTTTAGTAAGGTGACCCTGAAGTGGCACACGGACATGTATGATTCTGCACACATCTGGGGGGATCCTGAAAGTTTCCCCGTAACTTTTTAGAACAGAATGCACAGATGTCTGCACCACCTGCCTGGGGTTGATGATCAGTTTGGTGGGGTTAAAAACATTCTTCCTGTCTGGTTCCCTGTAGATGTGCTCCAGTATGTTAATCCCTGGCACCTCTCTCCAGAGGGGTAGGTCAAACCTCTTGTTGTCATCGAACATGGTCTTGGGGAAGATGTGGTTCTCCACCACAAAAACCCCCACTTTGGGGTTCTGAGCAGAGAGGTTTCCCATGAGCTCATGCAGCCTGCCATGCTTGTAGGGCATTATGATCTCGTCCATGTCATTGAGGAGCAGGTACTTGGACTTGTACATGTTTCTGTAGATGCAGTCGTTGAGTGTAGTCAGCTGCCCATAGTAGTGCAGGTCTCCCTTGTGCTCTGCGAAATTCCAGCCACGTGATGGATTGAGGAATTGTGTTATGGGCCACGGCACCACCTCCAAGAGTCCCTCCTCTGAGTAGTAATGCAGAACCTTATCCAGCTGTGGCCCACAGCTGGTGTTGTAGATGGTCACCTTCTGTATTCCCAGGATCTTGTACACCTCCATGGTCTGTATGAACTGCAGGGCATTGTTGTAGTCCCCAAACAGGTTGGAGATACAGACTGTGAACTCATAAGGGAAGTCACCCTCGGTCTTCTCCCGGTTCCTTATGGGCAGAAAGAGTCTCCCTCCTCTCTTCCTTTCTTCCCTTTCGATAGTGACGTGTGAAGCATTGCACTCAGGATTCTCTTCACACAGCAGGTCTGTAGTTGCAAAAGGGAATCCGAAATGGTCTGTATGGATGTCTATCAGAGCCCTTGTCTGAAAGTTGGAGCTTTTTTCACAGCAGAAAATACAGGAAAGTGGCTCAAGGTTGTGTCGGTGAACTATCCCTATAACCCGAGTCAGTCTCTTTTCTCTGTGATCTTCATAGGCAGAAAGAATGAAGTGATTTGTATCCTTGATTGGATAAATGGTTTCCTCAAGGGGATAATTTGGACAAGGAAGGGAATGTTTTGGACCTGGTACCAGGAAATGAACTGGTCTTAACTTACGTTGATTGTAACTCAACCACACCAGACCTATGACAAGCAGTGCAAGAACAGCCAGCAACCAGTGTTTCACTGCCATTGGAATTTGCATCTTTATCACCTGTCCAGATCAGTGGTTGGAGCTGATACCTGTAGCAGAACAGAAACAGAAACTTAAACTACAGGGGATCGCACTGGAAAACAGACTGCACTTTACTCTGAAGGTTGTTCGTTTCTGCAACAAGCTATCCAGCCATTTTGTTTAAGCTGATACCTTTCTGCTTTCACGAAATGGCTGGATGAGATCACATCATCAGTCAAATAGCTACTAATAACTAAACAACCTGCAGCAGATGGGTCGACCTTTTTATCCTTCTTGTTTGTAGCTTTTCATATGTTCCTCATTCATCCTGAAATTCTGAATGGTAAATTCAATGAGCTTCTTTTATTAATAATAAAATCCCCCAAGGAACAGTCTAGCTGTTAAATACCTGCAAATTGGTTTTTAAATGTGTGATCTGCAATTTATTTTTCTTACACCTACCTGATATGGGCAAATTACATTACGTGTTTTTACAGCTATGAGCCCTGTAACTGAACACAGGGGAGAGCGAGGAGAAGCCAGACTCCTTTGACCCACTAGGCTTGTAACACACCACAGGCATCACACACCCGTACAAGAGGTTCAATACCAGCTGAGCTATCACCAGCAAGCAGGAGCAGCAGCTGTAGGGCTGGCTGTGTGGCCCCGGCTGACCAGTCCTGCCCTGCCCTCAGTGGTGCTCAGCCTGTTGTGTGCTGCCATTTGCAGAAACCCAGTCACAATCGGTTCATGACATATCTGAGGCTCGAACCCGGGATCCCACACTCCACTTGTGCATGGGCAAATGGCTTTCCCAGTAGAGCCACTCATGAGGCCCGTAATACCTACAGTCTTGATCACACCCAAAATGACTAAACTCGGTAAAAAGCCCCCTGGACGATTAAGATCTTTTCTATGAATAGGACTACTGTTCCTTTGGCAAATAATGACAATGCTTTGAAACATGTTTTGAGCTTAAGGTATGGAGCCAGCATGTACCATGTTTTTTTTACTATTTCATGATAATAAGTATGTTTTAGTCTCAATGCATACTCCCTATCGCTGTTCTGTGCTCTGACATTAATCAAATGACACCAATTATCATTATTACCTCATTCTTTAAATCAGGTTGATCATCCTGTGCAAGTATTTTGAAAGTGCTATAAAAGAATCTATATAAACTGACTAGGGTACTGACTAATATTTCTCTATAAAGTGTTCCTATCAGCAAATTGTTATACTGTACATCTGTTAAAAGTTGGCAAACATTTTTAAAATCACAAATGATAAAAATTGCTTAGTAATCCAAATTTGTAAGATAAAGTCACAAGCCATATTTAAGCGAGAAACAATGCTACAACACCTCTCCCGCTAAAAAACTTTTATTAAAGTATCAGAACTGTTTCATGTTATCTTTAAATTTAAAAATCCATTTCAAATTAATCTTTATACACACTGTATTAACAAAACTAGATATAATAGCATAAACTATTGCTATCCTATGTAACTAAAGATAAGTATCCTACACAAAAATGAATTCAAATACAGCATATAAATCAACCTTAATATTGGAATAAAGTCAAAACGGTACATTTACACTTATAATATCAAGCAGCATTAATGCTACCATGAGGGATGTCCTCAATTCACAGAGAGCTGGTAATCAAAATATCTGTTTCTATTAAATATTTGACTTCAGTACAAATATTCAAGAGAGCAGTAGTATCCTGAGTCATGCCATACAGTACATTATCCATATGTACATAGATATAGCTCAATGAATGATCCCAAACTTGGAATAATTGACCCTCCTGCTGAATCAGAGATGGATTTATGATTCTACAATCAATATAAATATAAAAAACAATATATCACAGAAATTTCTGGGTATTTTTTAAACAAGACAAATCTTTATTATTTAAAAGATGATGCTTAATTTCTCCTTAAAGGACATGTTGTAATTCTTCTTGAAATTTAAAAAATAAATAAAAGATACACTTTTATAAAAATGGTATAAAAAGTATAAAATCAGGGTGCTTTATATTTGTTTCCTCTACAGTAACAATCCCTTCATCGGCAGATCGCATTGTAATATCAGAAACATTTCAAACTACAGATAAAACTCTTATGTTTGCTCTCCAACAAACCATATTAAGAATTTTTATTAATTATTAATCAGATCCTAACTTTACTTCCTAAAACGGGTCTAACATTTACAGAAAGTATGCCAGAGACAGTAAATGCTGATTTCGCTCTCAGTTTTGAGGTTATGTCGTCCTTATGGAAGAACTTTGCTATTTCAATACTTATTGCAAACTGTTGAGCGCTGATAAAAATGACAAAATACGAACCTTTAGGCAATAGAGAAGAATGAGTTCAACAATATTCAGCTTCTCCTTCGAGCTCGATTGGGTCCTGTGTGTCTTTCAGTGCCGTCTGTCAGGAAGGATTGTGATTGTGATCTTGATTTACGTCCTGATTCTTTAATTAAAAAAAGGAGAAAGGGACAGCTGGCTCAATCTCCTATGTGCCTGGCAGTGAAGACTCACTGTTGTGCTGCTGAGAAGTAAAGGAAGGAAAGATGTAAATCATCTTAACAATATAGTCAAACAAATGTCTCTTCCATTCTCACAGTTCTGGGACTTGTGAATCTATGTACTTCATATTTCTTTTTAGTTGTGCTAAGTAACTAAGTAATAATACCTTAATTGGCAGGTGGTATTGTAATCTCAGAAACATTTGAGACTGCAGATAAATCTCTATATTTGCTCCCCAACAGTGTAGATTATTATAAGTTATTATTATTTATTAATCAAATCATAATTTTTCCTGTCTAAAACAGATCAAAACATCTTCAAAAAGACCACAAGAGGCCAGAAATGTTGATCTTGCTCATAGTTTTGAGGTTCTTCTGTTTGGTAAATCCAGCAAATGGATCAACACTGGTAAAACTGACAAATAATAAACCTTTAGGCAATAGAGAAGATAGGGTCAGTTAATGCTGTACCTGGATATCGATCACCTGCGTCTCCGCTGAGCTGGATTGTGTCCTGTGTATCTTTCAGCACCGCATTTCCAGAACTGCGATCTTGTGTCAGCCTGTTGAAGTTCTTGCGATCTGCGTCCTGAGTCTTCGATTGGAAAGAGGAGGGTGAGGAGAAGGAGGACCTATCTCCTCCCAGTGGTTACCTGTTGTTGTGCTGCTCAGGAAGAAAACTTTTTTCTCAACTTAGTTTAATTATTAACCACAGTATAGGGAAACAAATCTCCATTAAATATGTTCAAGTAGGGCGTCGGCAGGCATGTGACGCAAAGAAACGGGCAAAGGTCTTTTCAACGCTGAAACGAAGAGACGCGTCTTGGGTGTAGACACCTGAAGAAGCCTAAACATTGTCCTTTTCTTTTCAGTATTAAACAGACATTTACCTGTTCTCTGAAATTTGTGCAGTTTCAGGACCCATAGATCCTGCAGGAGTGGGTTGTACAGGAACTTAGATTTAAGTGAGTAGACGCCTACATTAAATCACATCATTTCCTCCGGCAGAAATGTATTTTACTGGATATGCTGTAAATTGGCCACCTCGTATCACTGCTAAACCTCCTGTATGATGAACATCACGAGGCTGACTGGCTAAATGATGAATCCTTGCGGCCAACTGGTCTGTAGATGGTTAAGTTCTGTTTTGGTTCATGACAGTTCCTGGGTTTCACATCTGCCCCAACTGCAGTGTGTGGAACATGAGTGATTGGACCTCTGCAGACCACTTTTACTCTTGTTTTTCAGATTTCAATTTCATAGGAGTTATTTAATTAGCTGCACCCTGTATTTGCAATGTTTCTTAGCATTCCAAGGTGTTATTTACCTTAAGTCTACAGCACAATAGGCTACAAGACCCTCAGTATTTGGTTATACCTTTTTTGAAGTGACTGGAGACTGCTCAGAATATTAAAAAAGTCTAGATGGTATAGTTCTTTTAAAAATTAGCAATCCAAGTAACTAAACAAATAAGGAACATGTATGCTATTTGCACTCAATTCTCTACCCCAATCTCATTCATAACTGGAACAAAAACCCATAGACTTTGGGAGCTGGAGGGCTAGATTGGTAAGTTCAGAGGTAAAGTTGTATCTGTTATTTCATGCATCGCAAACATTCTTTGTTTGAGTTTGCCTCTCCTGCTTTCTTAGAAATGACAGCTTCCATCACACATTTCTAAAAGTGTGCAGCAGAGCCCCAGACTGAACCAGCAGCAATACAGTAACGCACAAATGCCTGTAGGGACAGGTAACAGGGAGTAATATACTGCAGCTGCAGCAGCTACCTGTACTGTATATGCAGCCAAACAGAAAGAAAGTTTCACCTCCACCAAACTAATCAACCCCAGGCAGATGCTGCAGACGGTGCAGATTCTATGAAAAATGGGAAAACGTTCAGAATCCTCCTGGTATTTTGCAGGATAATACAGTACGCATCCACAATCAACTTTGGGTCATCTTACTAAATATAAACAGCTGCTTGTGGACATCAGGCCTTGGGAATATTAATAAGACCTACTGTGAAAGACTAATAATGTCATAGACAAGTCAGGCCTATTAAAGTGAAAAGGGCAAATATAGTGTCAACTAGAGCAGAGGTCTTAACTGTCTGTACTGGAGAGCAACAGCTGAGCATGTTTTGTACTAGATCAAGAAAATTAATGACTGGGAACACATGTATGATTAGAGATCAGTTAAGAAAATTATTTGTTGGTTGAAGGCCATGGTAGATTTTGATGAGGTCACAACTGAATTGTTGTAATTCTTTAGAAATTGATGGTAAAGTGTTCTGCAAAGATTGCTGGATCTGGGGGGGGGGAGACAGCTGGATTAGAGGGATACTACCTCAGTACTGGGAAAATCATCAGTCTGATTTTATGAAGTGGAGCATTTGTTAGGGATCAATGCCTAAAACCTTGACAAGAGTGTCAGAATGTATTGCTACAGTATATAGGCTTTTTTTCCATCTCAAGTCCTATTTAATATACAACCATGTAGCCCTTCTCCTGTTCTAAGGTTTAAACTCCCACAGAGTATTTAATTCCGCTGTCATATTCTGCGTGTTTTTGCATCAGTAAAATAAATGACAGGTAACATTCCTGGAATGAATAGTTTCTCTGGCCTTTGTGTTTGCCTTTTATACCTGCTATTACACATTCTGTCTAAAGACAAACATTTAGTGTTCACAGATTCAAATGATCTGTTAGAGGCTGGACTGTGCCAGTGCATTGTTATTCACCATCTGGGGTGGCGACACGCAATGATTTCTAACGTAATAGCACGTTAAATACAAATCTATAAATGTAGTCTGTCAATATTGGGGTGGGATCTGGGGGGTCTTGAGTTCCAAAACCTTGCCTGGAATGATAGGGAGAGCCATGCGTGATGGTCTGGACAGGACTGTCCTAACACTGCAAACCTCCATTTTCAATTAAGTATAGCAACCTGATGTCCAGGACTTTTATGTCCTGCTCAAGTGACCAGTCTGTCCTTCATAAAAAAAATGGACACAGCAGCGTAGCTTCTAGCTTCAGGATGGGGGACGATGTTGAAGAAGCAATTAAAGATTGTGTATAAGCTGTGATTTCCCACTGTTAAACTGACATATCCCTCGTTAATCTGCTGACAAGTAGGTTTTTGTGAGACTTAGTTATCAGTATCTCAGGGTGCTACAGGACAATGTTATACTGTTGTATAAAACAAAGTGTATTTAATTGTTGGACAGAATTTACAGCAGAGCCTTGTCATGAAAACTCTGAAATCCCTGAGTATTCTGTACTCCTTTCAGACTGTCTTCAGAACTTTCCAAAGCCACTCTCCCCTCCATGGGGAAAGAGTTTGAGTGAGGAAGCCCTTCTCCTGAACCTCACCTTTCATTGGAGACTCTTCCATGTGGAGTCATGAACAGGATCTTTCATCTGAGCCAGAAGGATTTCCTCAAGATATCTCAAACCTAAGGCTGAATATGTTTACCACCCTGGTAGACT